CCTTCCTTGCCTTCCTTCCTTTCTTTCCTTCTGCCTTGGGAGAGAGTTGGCTGAGTGGCAGTGTTGGTGGATTTCATTAGCTGACATTATTTCAGTGTTCAGACTGAGAGAGTTGTTGAATCATCGTTACTATAGTCATTCACACCTTTGAGGTAGATTTTTGGTAACTGGCTGTACATCACTTTATCTGGTTTTTTCCCTTGCTGTTCCCGATATTTGCAATATGAACTATCATAAGTAAATCCACTTATCCCCGCATGCACAGCCAGGAGCATGCACATATGTGTACTCATGCATGTGCACACACAACATGCTTTGTTAATTGATGTTAATTGCTGGTGGTTTAAATTACAAAACATATTTATTTATTGCTCTGTTTGCACTTTGTTTCAGCTTCATCTAATGCACTGGAACTCCACACTGTACAGCAGCATTGATGAGGCAGTAGGGAAGAAGCACGGCATAGCTATTATTGCTTTGTTTGTGCAGGTAAGTTTCCTGTGTTACACTTGTTATGATGCACTGCCATTTGTCTGAGGATAACGAGGTCCTTTCCATGTTATTTAATTTTTAATGATTTCATGAAAGAAAACAATGTATGACTGCCGGTATTCTATTTGCAAGATATTTTTCAGTCATGTCTCCTATATGTGTGCTAAGCAATCAATTCTTGTTTGAACAGGATATTGGAAGTATGTTCATTAAAGAAGGGATAACAGATTGTTAGGCACTTTTCTGTGACTCTGGCTACAAGCAGACATCCAATCTTCATTCCTCTGAGAGCAGAATGAGGGCTGTCAGGAGGGACAAGTGCTTCACTGTCTCTGTGATGTATTTCTCTTAATTCCTGGCTGGGTCTGCTGTTCAGAGATTGAGGAAATAGACAGAGGAGAGGAGGAAAGATTAAAGAAAAGGCCTACAAAGCCATTGGCACTGCTGAAAACTGGCAATGGAATTGTGCTTTCCTGAACACAGGGACAGGTGTGGTTCTGTGCACAGGACAGATGTGAGGTGGAGTCGTGTCACTCTCCAGAGACTGAGAGTGTTAACAAGACTTGCCAGAGACCCTCAGAAAAGCCTGCAATGAGGAGGCTTTAAGCTTCCTGGGGACAAGGTGTAATGAAATCTGGAAGTTAGCACTATAATCTAATTGCTGTTGAAGGTTTTTCAAGGTCTGCACTCTATAAAGATTTTCAGTTTTAGTCCTCAAATACCAGACTCTCATCTTCCTCATGAGAAATGGCAAACTGTTTTATTTAAATGGGTTTGGAAGAAGAGGTTTAAAGTTCATCCTTAGATCAAATGGATTTTCTTGCACAGTGATATTATTAATTTGTCATATTTCATAACGAGTTTATGAGTGCCTTTGAGCTTTACCTCTGAATTTAAAGGTGCATTGGTTACCATCTCAACACTCAGATAGAACTGCTAAAAATGGAAGTTAGAAAATCTTCAGCTTTGTGTCCTAGAGGACTGTGTGATAATTACTTATGTAAGTCACCTTCTCATTCCAGCAGAGGTAACCTTCGAGTCAGTTAGAAAGTTATATATAAGTTCTTAAGTAAATTTGAAACTTCAATGATACATTTTCCATTTCTGGTCTGTCACCCACATCAGTGTTTGTAAGCATTCCAAAAAGGCTTTTTCATTAGCCAAGAAAGGCATAATTACAACTGACCAAGGAAAAATAATATTTAAGCTGTTTATTAAAGGAACAGGGAGAGAAACTTTGGTGACCATTTTTTTCTTGGTAAAGGCATGGAAAAATAATTTTGTACCATGGTTCTCAAAATACACTATTTTAAAGTCAATGAAAACATTTACACTGATTTAAGTGACGGCCCTTGGGGATTATTAATTTAGAAGCAGAATCTTTGAAGTGACTTAAATATCTTTTATGCACTTCGAAAGGTTTGAAATTGAAATTCCATTCTGAAACAAAAGAAAATGCTCTTAAATTCCTAGAAGTAACAAAGCACCTTTTGTTGACATTCAGTTGTTTCCTTCCAGTGGCGACTCTGTCATTCTATAAGAAGAGAAACAAAAAGCAAACAAATTTTTCAGGGTCTAGCTCTCCCATTCTCACTCATGCTGGGTTATTTCCTCACCTTGTATTTGTACTTGTTGGCAAAAAAATCAAGTTGAAGGTCGTTCTGCCTCTCCTGATTTTGTTCTGAAAGTAAAACTAGGATCCTGGAATGGGTGATTTGAGTCAGAAGCAGCTGAGTTTAGTGTGCAGAGTGAGCAACTTCCATATAAAATTAGAATCTCTCGTCTCAGTGTGTTTCTTTAGAGCCCCATCTTCTGTGCCTTCAGTAGAGACAGTGCTGCAGCCTGGCTTTCACTGGCATGATCCCAGAGATGCTGTGGGAGAGGGAATCTGCTGTTCTGTGCTCTGCAAGCAGGAAAAAACTCCCCTGAGCTTCAGAGATACCTTGGGCCAGATTTCCAATGCTATGGGAACAAATTCAAAAATTTTCTGTTATGCTTGTTCACTCTGTTCCTTTCTGTGTACTTTTCTGACAAAAACTGGTAAGGACGAACTGTCTCCTTGGCATCTATATGCCACAATAGTGCATGATCTTGACTCCACATAGAGCAGGGACTGCACATCAGGGCTAATAAAAACCAACCTTAATTATGACTCTTTCTCTTGTTCTATGAGTTTGTCTCTGCTTTAAAGTTATTTAAGCCCTGTTTACTTTTGGCTGGTGGTTTTATAATGATTTAATTTTTTGGACTTGTCATGTATCAGTGTATTTGATTAAAACAAGGTTGTGTAGCTAAACTAAAACCAGCTATAGTACTTACTGTTCTGGTTGACCTGAGTTTTGCCTCAGTTTCTGAAATACCAAGATACTGAAATTCACCTTTGCTTGCTGTATTTCAGATAGGAAAAGAGCATGTGGGCCTGAAGGCTGTAACTGAAATTCTTCAGGACATCCAGTACAAGGTAAGGCATTGTCTGAAGCAATCCTTCCTTTAATGACCAGAGCCAGTAGGGACTGTATGGACCCAAGAGAAAGATTTCAGGTGTGTCTGTGGTAAAACCACATATAAAAGCCATCATTTGGTGGCCAGCATGAAAACCTCAGTGTTTTATTCAGATAATATTATTCAGCTAGTATGTATTTTTTATACTTTCTTTTTCTGGTGGCCAGAAAGTTTGATCTACACCAGTAACTGCTTGCAAGTCCTAAATTTTCAGTGATTTTCGTGGAGTCACTGTGAGTGCAAGCACTGCAACATGCTTAGTGAACACCAGCAGCCATGTCTCCAAACTTACCTGGTTTTAATTTGTAGAGGAAAACTACAGATGAACTGAGCACCCATATTAACTTGCAGGGAAATCAGCAAAACCACAATGCCAACTTGTCAAGTGGATTATGTTTGGGCATCCTGAAGGACAGGTAGTAATCCTAGCAGGACTGAGGAGATTTGAGTGCTCTCCAAAATGTTGCCACTATCTTAAATTACCTTGGGCAAGTTACTTTCAACTCTTTGCTTCATGATCTGTAACATAGAAATAGTCATACATTCCTTTGATTTTAAAAGGATTTTGAGATGTATTGATGACACATTTTTATTGGTCTGAAGAGATTACCATTCACTTCTATAACTTCAGTAGATGCCAAAGTGAAGAAAAATTAGAAAGAAATTGCAATCTTTTAGTCAAATAGTATATGGTAAACTTCAGGCATGATGTTTAATATTATAAATTCCTTATTTATGAAAGTGTCAGAGAAAACAATAGTGTATGTAACTCTGATTTCATTACTGAGACAACAGCCAAGCAGAGGAAGGTCATGAAAGGCCTTGCCATTGTGCTACTGATGGTGCCTCCCAAAAGACCAGCACCAAACACACTTTGGCATACATAACATTTTTGTGTATTAAGTATGTGGGACCAGCATTATTTTATTAAGGTTATCCACATCAGTTAAGTAAATCTCACTGTGGCCCTTGTTTTTTTATATGAAACCCCTGAATTTCATGAAGAGAATTTCAAGGCTGGGACCTGAAAGAAGTCCAGATGCTAAAGGCAGAAAGTTAACAAATTGCTGGAATAAGCTTAAAAATGAAATAAAAAATAGGATAAAAATATGTGTTTGTGTAGCTGCAAGGAGAAATGCAATGATGATTAAATGGGTGCTCTTAGTGAGGTTGCTTTCCACAGGAATTCAAGACTTGATGGTAAAAGAACACAGAATGTGTTTTACCTCAGTATTCATCAACATTTTAATTAGAAGCTAGAGATGAGATTGACTTGTATTCATTTTTTCAGGGAAAGTCCAAAACAATACCCTGTTTTAATCCCAACTCTTTATTGCCAGGTAGGTGCCTTTGCTTACTTTTGTGTGTGTGGATTAGTAGCTGATTGCAGAGGCTGAGACAATCTTAACCTAAAGTCTAGCCTAAACTGCAAGCCTGATTGTGTCCCATAAGGTGGTAATGCATTTTGGTAATGCACATCCTAACAGGGATGGTGGTGGATTCCCATTGGAATTTACTGTAAACCTGCACCTTTGTCATGTGAGTGGGATGTGATTCTGTAGTCTGTGCAGTGCTGACAATACCATGGGTTTGTTGAGATTTACCCATCCATCCAGAGAGACAGCTGTGTGTATTCATTTCCCTACTTGGGCATAAAATAGGAAGTGTAAGGCTACCCACTTAACAAGGTAATTTTTTTGGCAGAATCAAAAGACAATACCATTATGCAATGACAGTAATACAACAAAAAAGGAGAAGGGACAAAGGGAGGCAAATTCAAACTTACATAGCTAAAAGTTAGAGAGTAACAGTAAGAAATGTGACTTTAGAGAAAAACACCTCTAAAGCGAAATGTTTCTGCAAGGAATCTATTTGAGCTAAACTCTACCATAGTGGCAAGATCTTTAATTTTTCAAAATAGTCTAGGTCTACATTAAACTATATTAATTATAGGAAAATACTATTGTTCAGGTTGCAAAGTCAAGTGCTCAGCAAATAGGAATTGCAGGAATTAAGGCAGCCTGTGCCTCTCGTGCATATCCATTATGAAACATCACCTGATTGCATGACCATAAGCTATTTTTTACAGGACCCCTGCCTCGCAGCTCCTGTTTGATGCTGATCAAGCCACATAAACAAAAATGCTCACAAGTCATCTCTAACTATGTGTTCCTCATTTTCCAGGTGCCTGACTTGAGATCATGGGGTCTGATTTGCAGAAGTGCTGAGTGCTTACACCTCCAAGAGAAGTCAATGGGAGCAGTGCTCTGACTGTATTTTGTGCTATAGAAAGTTAAATACTCTGAGAAATCAGGTTCTAAGCATGTCATGTTGAACACCTCAAATGAATAGATGCATTTGACCTCGTTTTCTCTGCCTCAGTTCCCCACCTGTAAAGTGAGGGGATAATCTATCCTTCCTCACTACTCAGGGGTATGGGAGGATAAATTAATTCATTTAAGCTCTCAGGCACTGGAGAAATGAGTGTATTAGAAATATGGAAAATGAGAAAATATTCTAACAAGCAGGATTTCAATAGCACAGGAAAAAGAATTCCAAATGCCTCAGATTGTACTGGGAATTCTAAACAATATTATGTACTTTTCAAAACAAAATCGTCTGTCTTTGCAAGTAAACAATGAAAGGTTTTCCAGAAAAGACACATGTGATCATGTGACAGCACTGTATCACAATGCATGCACAGGATGGGCTGAATTAATTCTTGCAGTTCTTAACTTTTGAGTGTTTGATAATCAACTCGCTGTCAATGGATTTGCTACATCATTTCCAAGCTGAGAAAGAAAATTGCACCAACAAAACAAAATTCATTTGCTGACAATCACAGGCTTCGTTAGCAAAATTCAATTCTACTGATCTTCCCCTGAGCTAGTAGTGAAATGACAGTAGCAGGTTAGTTCCACCAAGCAGGTTTATTTGCTTCCAGTGTCCCATTCTGTCCTTGTCAAGCTAGTCACAACGTTCCCCCTGGCTCTCCATGCCATGATTGACCACCCTTTGTCTCCAGTTTCTCTCTAGATTTGTTTCTTCAGAAACTTCTTTTACAGTCAGGAGTTTTCTCTACTTTTTTAGGCAGTTTTCTCTCCTTTTTTTAGTGCTTTTTAGGCTGTATGGCCTACAGCAGCGAAAGAAAGCCCTGTGTTGTGTCATTTATGAAGTGTAGTGTGATTGGAATCTAAGAGAAATTAAAATAATGAAAATCAAATGTGTTTTATGTAGAGCTAAAACTCTGCATGCACAAAATATTGTACATTTTCTTCAGCGACAACTGTTTATCCTAACAGCTATTTATAAACCTATTAATAAGCATATAAATGTAAAAAATTATGTAATTATAAGGTAAACCTTGATGTTTTTCCCCCTCTGAAATTCAACTCACTTTTGCAAAGGTAGGAAGCACCACTGCATCTCAAAAACTATGTCGCCAGGATTGCAAAGTGAAAAGTTTTTCTTCAGCTTAATTCTCATTGATTTTTTTTTTCTAAAAAATGAAATAAAGTTAATTCTTGAGACATATCCTAAATGCAGAAGTCAGTTAAAATTTAATCACCACAGACCCCCTGCATTCAAAATACGTATCTTTTTAGCTTTTGACATTAACAGGAATTCCTTTATTCCCATAACATTGCTTATTTGCCATGCTGATTTAAAGAGCTGTGCACTTGTTATTTTTCACATCTACCAAGTGGCATTTTCACATCTAAAATGCACATCTGCAGGGTAACTTACTGTAATATAATGACCACAAGCTCATGTACATTCATATGAGGAAGTAGTGGGCAGTGCTTGGCAGGTTGTAAATTCACACTTTAGCTTCTGCTTACTAACTCTGTCATGCGAGAGAGCCCGCAGCTGTCATAAGCTGTCACTGAAAAACACCATTAACTTCCTAATAGTCATTAAAATTCCACTTTTTTTTTTGGTTTCAGATCCTCTTCTGCGTGACTACTGGGTGTATGAGGGCTCTCTGACCATTCCACCCTGCAGTGAAGGTGTCACCTGGATATTATTTCGCTATCCTTTGACTGTGTCCCAAGTGCAGGTAACAGCTGTGCTTACATTGACCTTGGAATATGGTTATGAGCTAAAGGTTATAGCGTGCAAATGTATATATCAGAATGTTATGTCTGTTCTCCTTAAAGATCCCATTAGATCAGTACATGGCTTTTCAAGTAAAGGTTAAACCTTTTGAGTCACTGAAAGCAATGCAAAGGTCAGAGATGAAAAACCTTGTTATCATATATCATCTGCATTTAAAATAATTCTTATATTTAAGTCAACAAAAAGGGAAAAAGGAACTCAGTGGGCAAAAGAAATTAAATTCTTTGTAATTGTAAGCTTTCAAATATCACTGCTTTTTAATGTTAAAGGGGAAAAAAAGCACAGGGAGGCACTACATCCTGGAGAATGAAAAACTTTAATGTAGTACAGATTGGCTAGATTGCATTGAACTGTATTTAATTTATCTGGCTCTTTTTAAATTCAGTTTTATAATAAATGTCAAATGGAAGCTACCTTTTTAAATTTGATTTCACACGTATGTATTTTAAAATGTTTGGGTTTTTTTTTTAATTAAATCTAACAGTTCTGAGCCTTTCTATGCACAATTTTTCAAATCTGTCTACAAATAATCCCAGTAAAAACAATGAAAACTCCTGATGAATATTCTCTCACAGTCTGTGAATCTCAGCTGGAGGAGTGTGCATTTAATTTAGGTGAACCCACCTAGAATCCCTGAAGCTGAATGCATTAATTTTCATTGCCTGCTCTGAAGCATGTGAAGCAAGTATAAAAGGTGATAAATTCAGATTTCAATTATTTCAGCTTTAATAATTTAAAATTTTGCTAGCGATGCTGGCACAATGTTTTAACATCTTTAACAATTTAGAATTGGCAGCATTTCTTCTCTTATGGAAACTGAGTTCTAGGTCTAATCATAGGATAAAAGCAATAGCTCCCAATAAGTTATTTTTCTGGTAGCTGCAACTTAAATGCATCCCATCATGAATCTGTTATTTGTTCATGAAAAGGTAAAACTTGTGGCTGCTTACTACTGAGTAAATGCATTATTTACTACTGAGTAAACAGCTTCTTGTTAGCATTATTAGATTCAGAACAACTTTTAAAGACAGAGTGCATTTTGTAACGTGTCAGCTAATTGTCCAGATGGGATATTGATAAATAAGGGGACTTAATCAGATGTACAAAGTCCAGCTATTACAGCTGAGACATAGTAAGATATTACAGCTATTACACTGAGGCATAGTATGATATTGCTAGTTGCAGATTTTGTGGTCTCTATTCCTTTTTAATCCAGTCAGTGCACAGAGGAGAGCCGAGTTTAAACCATCCACATGTAGTGGGAGAGACCAAGAGGGTGAACAAAAGAGGAATTAAGAAGAGAAATACAACTTTAGTTAGTATTAGTGTGTACTAATCTACCACAGGAAGGCAGGATGTTGGAATGTTGTGTGAAGGGGATAAGACTCCTGAAAAGAATATCGTGCCTGGGGCAGAGAGTGACCCATAGTGCCTGGGGCAAAGACTAAGATTCACAGCCATGGCCTTTGTTAGGTGAGGAGTGGCTGGTTTGTGTTGCTGCATTACTGTGATAGGTGCAAACCCGACCCAAAAACATTGCAGTTATGACGGGCATGCAAGTCATGGAGGAGCCTATCCCTCCCACTGGCACTGTACATGGGTGAGAGGTGGCACTGGAGTCCAGTGATGGATTGGAGCAAACTCATGCCAGGATGATCCACTATTCTTGTCACAGATAAACACCAATTAGAAAAACATTCCTCTGTGATATTTATTACTGCAGCATTAAAGTTAAGGTTGTGCCGGAAAGATAATGATTAAGAACTTGAAAGGCTTTTGCCAAGGTGGGATAAAAAAAATATATATTTAATCAGATATTGCTTTCAGATATCAATGAAAAATTAATATGTCATTAAAACAAATACATCACTGAAAAATAAATATGGGGTAATTGAGAGGAGATTATTCTGGCATTTGTAAACTGGAAGGTATTGTGAGGTTTCCATGATGCCCAAATTAAGATTTTATTGGTTCTAGAATATTTTGCTATAGCTAAAATTCCAAGATTTTAAATTGTAATTAGCATTTTGTCTGCAGTGAACTATCTGGCCTCTTTCGTGCATGTGGGCATGAGTGCCTATGAGAGATTTCATTTAATCACAGAACCACAGAATGATTGGGGTTGGAAGGGACCTCTGGAGAGCATCTATTCCAAAAGCCCTGCTAAAGCAGGTTCATCTGGAGCAAGTTGCCCAGGAGAGATTAAGGACAGATTAGAAATACAGGGGCTTTTGTCTGCAGGAAATAAGAGGATGTAGTACCATTTTGAATCTTCCAAGGAAGGCTGGTAGAGGTATTTAATTTTATTAAGCCAGCTTGTAGTATTAAATCATAGGTTTCAGTGTAAATGCATTTCTAATAGGTTTAATTACATTATTTTTACATTTGTCATTACCTTGTGGAAATTTCTTTTTTGGGATACTAATGAAATGTCAAGTGCTTTATATAAATACTAGTAGCATCTGTGGTTATAGCCGTTGAGAGACAAATTCAAGGCTATTTTCATTTTTCAGGCCATGAAATAATCAAGTTTTGAGTGTCAATAACAAGTAAATAAAGAATTACATAATATAATATAGAATAAGTTTTATTTCTTTCCTCTGATCAAACTAGTTCATATATTGGAGACAATATGCTAATTTTCTGCAATTAACACAGCAATATTGATAAGCTTAACAAACTGCGGGTCATAAGGGCAAAAAATGAATAAAATTGCCATGCTGTTTCAAGGTCACACTCATAAAATATTTTCACATTTTGTTAGTTTGGAACAATGTCAAACCATTTTGACATGGGCACAATAGGCTGACTATTACAAAGTAGAGTACCTTTTTTTACCTGAAGACATTTTCAGAGAGTAAAGTTCAGCTGATGAGTTGATATGCTACTGATCTAAGTCAAAGTTAAGTGAAAGGAGATCTGAGTGTGCTCATTCTACAAATAGCAAAAGAGCAATTCAGGACTGCAGCATCAGGATGTGCTTTCCTGGAATCATGAGGAATGCTGTTTCCTCATTGGAAGTAATTTTCTTTGTCATGAGACTTCACTTCCATCAAAAAAGTCCTTCATGGGTCATTCTATGCATATTTCTGTCCTCCTATTGTGTTTTTTTTCATCCTCACTTGACTTATGTTGAAATGCACAGCCCAGAAAAACTGTGTTGATTCTTTTTGTGAGATATCTTACACATGGATGTACCTGCTGAAATGCAGTGGGAGAAAACTCCTATTAGGCCAGTAAAAACAGAAATAATTGAAAAAAGTTGTAGTCATGCTACTGTCCACTATATTTAAAAAAAAAAGGGACATTTGTGAATAATGTCCTTTGTGGGTCACTGAAGCTCAGAACAAGTGCATTGTCTAAGCCACTCAGAGTAGGGGTTTTAAACAATGATGGAGAAGGAGCTCTTGTTCACTGTATTCATCATCAGAGTTAACTGTCTTTTATTGAATGGCATGGTCTCTAGTCCTTTTGTCTACCTCATTCAGAATGAAAAACTACCAAAGGACAGAAAGAGAAACTAGCATATGGAACTGTTGTGGGAATTGGGCAAAATTTATGTCAACTACAATAAAGCACTCAGAGCTTCATGGTATTCTGGGTGCTGGGAAGTAAGGTCCCTGTTCTTGGAAGGTGTCATGGAGACATGTTAAATTTTCAAACAGAAGGATAATGCTTCTATATCTCATATCAAATAAATGTTTATAGAAAACAGGGAAATCCTTAGTATTGTGTGCTCTATTCTTCAGCAAATGTGTAAATTAAACAGAAGAATGCTCAGGATCTGAATACAATGAGTGGTAAAAAAAATTCTACACAATGTGAACATGAATGGTTTTACTCAGTAGAAATGCCACTGTTCACATTGTGAATTTGCCTCTACACTGGTTAGAACTTAATCCCAAATTTCAGTGTGAAAGGCTTAGGTCATCCTTAATGTCTTCTGTGCAGGAGAAGAACTTTTAAAAGTAGCTATTCCTGGTAAAAGTATGTGACTATCCAAAGGTGCTTAGCCATATGCCTCTAAAACATCTGTTTCCTTGGCAGTCCTGCAGGGTGTACCCCACAGCATTGATTATGAGGGGCTGGGAGGAGATGGTGAGCAGTGAAACAGGATCAGCAGGGCACACATATGTCTTGGTTTGAAAAGACAGGTGTGTGCTAAGGAAGGCAGGAGCCTTCCCTGAAATGGAAAATGTAAACTCCCTCCCTCCAAATTATTGCAATTTTGAAATTAAGGGGCTCTCAGACAAAGATGTGGGAATAGGAATAACAGTTCTTTACTAGGAAAATGTTAAAAAATACATATGCAATTGTACAAAAAAAAAAAAAAAAAAAAGAAAAAAGAAACTACTGACAGAGTCAGAATACAACCTGACACCCTGTTGGTCAGGGTGCTGGTTTCAGTCTCATTGAATGGTGGCTGCAGTCCTCCTGGAGTGACAGGTGAGGTTCTGTTGAAGCAGTGATCCTGTAGAAGGGTGGAGTTTTCTTCTGAAAGTCTGGTGATGGTTTAGATCTTCCTCTGCAAATCCAGCGGAGAAGAAAGCTGCTCCTCTGAGAATCCAGTGAGGGAAGGCTGACTGTGATGTTCCAAATCTCAGATTATATCCAGGTAGTGATGCTTGGCTCCTCCCCCTGGGCATAGCTTCTCACAATGGGATGATGCAATTTTATCAGCCATGCAGTGATACTCAATAGCCCAGTAACAGAAGATATTTCCTGGAGGGAGGATTGGTTGTGGAAGAGATCGAGAAAAACTGCCCAATTAACAGAAGATAACTGCTCCACCTCTAACAGATGGGAATAGAATACACATCCAGCTACCTTTCAGTCTGAGACACCATATTACCTTGCCACATGGAAACTCAATAGGGAAAGTAGTGTTGGCACAGCTAATGTCCTTTTCTGACAGAAGTGCTTCTCATGAGTAGAGCAAACCACCACGTGTGTAGTCCTTTTGTCTGCCTCATTTGAAGGTTCACATGGCAGCATGAACCATGGAAGGAACAACTAAACAAGGAGGGTGTTGATCGCAGAAGAAATTCCCCCTTGGAGCAGAGCTACAATTCTTGACTTCTGTAAAGACTAAAGAGCAGGCACAGAGATCAGGTCAGTTCTACTCTCCTGACTGAAGAAACTGGAAGCTGCTTTGTGAGGAGTTACCTCCTGGAGAAAGATTTCACTGTGGGAACTGGGACGGAGCATTTGTAGTTTCAGTAGGAGACAGCTCACAAATGCCAGCTTTGCAGAGAGCCTGCTCTTCCCTCTCCATCTGTCTTTGAAGTATCTCATTCTCACAAGATCAAACAAAAGACACATTTTTGTAAAGTGCTCCTTCCTAAACTGCAATTATCTCAAGACTTTCCAGAGTTGATTCAGATGGTGAAAAAGTATCCTTTTACAAAGCTCCTTCAGTGATTTACCAGCCCTTGAGTTTTGAAGACTTTTTCAATTCCAAGCTGGTAGTGGGTTTGTTTTCAGTTTCCTTGAAGTAAACAACAACAAAAATCTTCCATAACAGGATTCTGCCTCTAAAAGCACCTTCAAGGAGCTTTTTTCATTTTTGCAGTCTAAGCTGTTGCCTTATATCTCAGCTGCCACAAGCTGAGTGTTGATTTCCAAGCACACTGTTTTTCTGAGGAAAATTAAGCAGAGAAGAGCTAGCCTCTAAATCAAGTAAATAAATCTGTATCAGTACTGCTGTAGAGTGGAAAACAACAATGAGGGCAGTTGTGTTCCACGTTGCAGTAAGAAAGTATTCTCTGTAGGCAGGATAAGAATAAAAACACCATTACCTGCTGTTTAGTACCTCATTTAATTTAATTCTGGAATCATGCTTACATTCTCCCTGTAATATTTCCTAGGGTGTTTTTCATGGAGAAATTAACTCTATAATGTCTTAGATGTTAAAATGATTGTATACTCCAGGCTCCATTTTACTTTCTGTGTATCTTCAGTTTCAGGTTAGAGATGAACTGCATAGTGAAGTGTCACAGGGTCAGTGCAAGTACAAAGGCTGAGGTTTGTAGTACAAAGGGGAGTCAGCCATCAAGTACATTTGCTGAATCCAGCTAAGACAACTTGTGAATACGTCCAAGAAAAATATTTTTCTAGTAGTTGTAGCTATTTAAAAGATCAGACTCCTAAAACCAGCAAAAGTGAATACTAAGGTAGTGTTTTATCATGCAGCACTTGATGCTAGTACCAGGGATGGAGATGGAAGCTGCTCATAGACTTCTGTACACCAGATGAGACTTAGGAAAATGTAAAAAGAGTCTATAAGCAAGAAACATTTGTTTTGGCTCAATTGAAATATTTCTTATTTATTTTTTACTGTATTTGACTTTCTGACTGTCTACAGCTACAGATCTTTTGAAGCAGTATTTTGTTTTGATCACAAAAACTGTATTTTTTCATATAAAATGTCAACAGACATCCTCTAAAGCTAAGAATCTGTTCAGTATTCTTCTGGTTTAGAAGATAACAGTTTGAGGAAGTAAATAAATCACTAGGGGAATTTCAAAACAATTTATAGTCAAGCAAGTTATTCCTGAAATGCACGTTTTTGAAGAAGACCAGAATTGCTACTCTAAATGCACGACAGTAGGGCTGATTCATAGGATGTAATCTGCAATGGCCAAGATGGTTATAGATCTTAAAAGAAGTTGTGAAAAGGCAAAGGAGGAGTTTGCCAAACCATGTGCTTAAGAGTTCTTGATTTTCTCTATATCTCAAATATTTTGACAGTGCTGATAACTATTTTAAAATATTATTAATGTATACTGACCTTACTGTATGGCACCTGAACACTCCGATTTTCAAAGCTGCAGAATTGGCTGGGCAGGTCTGGTCTTGGTCATTAGTCCCATGGTGAAGACTGTGTCTCAGCTTCTTAATTTCTGTTTTTCTGTCTTTCAGATAGAGGAATTTCGAAGACTGAGGACTCATGTTAAAGGTGCTGAACTTTTAGAGGGCTCTGATGGAATCCTAGGAGATAACTTCAGACCAACTCAGCCACTTAGTGATAGAGTCATCAGGGCTGCATTTCAGTAGCAGAGCAGGAAGAACAATGATGAATCTTCAGTCAGGTAAGCAAAAACAGCGGAACAATCAAAATTTTGAAATAATTTAGCTAAAGTAGAAAATGCACTTTAGCTAATATTATGATACCTTGTCACAATTTTAAATTCTAACACTGTAATTTCTGTTTCATCCTGTGTGTAATAGTTTGGTTATGTCATGATTTACCTCCAGCTGGCAACCAAGCCCCACGAGCTGCTCAGTCACTTTCATGTGGTGGGATGGGGAAGAGAATCCAGAGGGTAAGAGTGAGAGAATTTCTGGATTGAGGCAAAGACAGTTTAATAGGTAAAGTAAAAGCCATGCGTGCAAGCAAAGCAATGGAAAACAAGAAAGTCATTCACCACCCTCCAGGCAGTGAATCACAATGCCCACTTACATCACACTTTCTTCTTGTAGCTTTTATTTCCCATGCTGCAGTGAAGAAAAGCACAGTATGCCTTGGTTATGTGGTATATTTCCCCAGATACAGAGTTTTACTGGTAGTTTTCTTTCCATGTTTCTGGAAGACCAGCCATTTGTGGATCTTTTCACACAGTTAAAAAAGAAGGGTAGTAGTTCTGGAAGGAGGCCTTTAATTCTAAAATGAAGCTTTTTTTTTTTACAATGTTGTTCTTCCCCAACAAGACTGAATTTTGAGTAATTCCAGTGAAGGTATGAAAGGCAACAAATTAAATTCTGTCTATGAAAAAATAACTTTTTTCATATTTCATTCATCAAAGTAGTTGCTGCTTCTTTTCCACCTTCATTGACTCTCAGAGCAAGAATTTGAGGATGACACAAGAGAAATACACATGTGAACCTGCATTAAACCTGCTTCAGCTATTAAAACTTCTCATGTCATGTTCCCTCAGCCTCTGTCTATTTTATAAATAAAATAAATCCCCTCAGTATTCAACAGTTACTCCTAATCCACATTATACTTAGTTGATGGATGTTTTGCTATAATGAAAAATCTGGCAAAGAGATTCAAAGAGAGCTGAAGTCCAGGGAAGCAGCAGAGTGACCATTTCTGAAGACATTTAGGATATTAGATGTGATTTTAGGGATATGGTTTAGTGGTGCACCTGGCAATGCTGGGTGAGTAGTTGGACACAATGATCTTAAAGGTCTTTTCTAACTTAACAATTGTATTATACTAAGACAAATTATTGCCTTGAAAGGAATGAGTCAGGGCACCAGCTTTATGGTTGATTTTGAAATGAAGTGATCCTGCTTTAATGCAGGACCCTATTTACAGTTGAAATACATAATATAAAAGCCTCAGATTTTCTATCTTTTAATTTCTTCAAAGCTACAAAATAGATTCATCTGAGGTTTAATCTGGAAAGTATGCTGCTCAAAGGGCTGTTTTGGGTAAGGATATGTATTTTTACTTTAAATTCTTGCCCTCTCTAGTTCATGTCAGGCTCTGTAGTGGAGTTAAGCCCATTCAGAGCATGCTCTGGATCCAGACACCAGTTTCATGTGAAGTAACAAATGATCAGGCAGCAGATAACCCATAAAAAAGACTGATAATTCAATGCTTCCAAAAGACCCATTAAAATGAAGTGAGAAGATTATCATGCCTCCTGCATATGACAGAAGTTATTAAATTGGCTAGAACAATGACCAACAATTTCATGGTCTTTCCATATTTGATGACCAACAATTTCATGGTATTTCCATATTTCTTTCAAGCATTTGATAAAGTGTATGCATCTAAATACTGTTGAAGAAAGGGTTTATTTGTGTTTTATAACACTATTTAATATCTGCATCCCAGAAGCCGAAGAAAAACCCAAAACATTGGTCCCTTTTTTAATATTATTTTCTCATACTCATATTTAATTTTGGGCATATCCCTAAGACGAATTTGCAATTACATGGTTCTCCGAGGTAACCAAATGTTGTCACTTTAATCTTGAAATGGATGTTTCAAATTCATCCCAGCTTCTGCATAAAAATTACTTGGGAAAATCGTAGCAATATTAAAGTACAATTTTTTTCAGAGAGTGAATAATGCCCTCAGGCCAGTGCAGGTAATTCAAGTCTGTAACGGTGAAATTACTTGACACACTGAGTTTGAATTTTAAGCATGAAAGAGTTTCCTTTACAATGATGGAATTGAAATGTAAAAATTTCCCTTTTGCTTTCATGTTTGAAATTTTATTACTTTTGTCAATACTTATAAAGATTTTTTCTATGTAATAAGATTTATCTTGGCTTTGCTTCACAAAATAATTTGCAGTTTTAATTCTTAAATGGTGGAATTTTTAATGCAAAGTAATAGTCCTCACTGTGGGGCCATACTAATTATGGACACTCAAGCACTGAGGAAGAACTGTGACTCCTGGCACAGTGTAGCTCACAAAAGAAATGACACTTGTTTCTGTGCACCTCATTGAATTATTTATCAGAAATTCATTTGGTCAGGTCTTTTCAGTGTTGTGTGCATCAGTCCAAGTAGCACAGAACTAATCAAGATTTCATTATATATCCTTGCTGTTGAGTTCAGGGAGCTGAAAAAAAATGAAGTGGAAAAAAAAATTACATGGATTTGTTCACATTTCTTCCATGCAAAGAGGTTTAAAGGGAAGGAAACAATCTTACTTGTACTGATTTCCTCACACTTCTCCAGGAGGAAGGTGTTGAGGAACAGTAGCTCGCACACAGACCTCAGAAATCCTCAGAAAGATTCCTTCCTTCACAGAACGAGGGAAGTCCCTCAAGCTGGGACTGCTGGCATCAGCTGAATATTGCTGTGAGGACTCAGTAGTAGATGGGGAAGTAATACTTCTCAGGGCAGCATCTTCCTAGTAATTCAAGAGGAGCTGTTCTTCTTTTCAAAGAGCAGATTACTTTTTATTTTAAAGCTCTGCTATGTCTTTAACATTCAATTACAAACACACTGGTTGATTTCTTTTCATACACTATGCCCCTCTGCCAAAGCTGCTGGAACTCCTGTCAGGAAAGTTTTAGGTATTTTTTTTTTTTATTCCAAGCCAGTGTGGCACAGCCTCCTGAAGAACGTTGGGGAATGTTAGTTTGCCATGACCTTGTTACTCTGCCGGGAAAAGGAGGAGACAAATGTTTCTGTAAGTGTATCCATAGGAGTAGAAAAAGGTTGTTTGAAAGGTCTAATTAATTTTGACTGAATCAGAATGCAGTCTCTTTGCACACCATGCTCCCAAAGCTTCAGAACATCTGTTCCTCAGCCTTGATTTAAACCTTGACAAAACTGAACCCTTTGTGGCTTATGATCAGATGGCATATGTTGATCTTTGATGTAATTTGTTCTAATTTGTTGAGTAAGAAGCAGAGTTGACACAAACATTGAATATCATGGTGTGTAATACCAGGGAAAGAACTATATTTTTTTAAATGTTCCTCCATCATAGAAAAGCCCAGATCTCAAAACATTCCTCTCCAGTTCTAAGACAAAGTTTGGCCAGGCTCTAAAGGGGGCCTTCAGGATGACAAAAGAAATAGAACTTAGTAGCTTCTCTGCTCTCTTTAACCCAGTAGGTTTTAGAATAAGCTTGCTGCTATCTAACAGCATAGATAGCTGTTATCTAACTGGCATCTCCTGACTGCTTCTTTTCTGCTGAAAACATATGTCTCAGCTATAGCTTGAGGTTAAGGAGTTTTTGAATTCTGTTTTGGTAGGGTTTTTGACATGCATCCAAACTACATCCCATTAAATGACCTTTTCATCCTTCTTCTCCTGCCATTACTGAAGTTTTCAAATACATTTCTTTTGAAAAAGCCATTTAAAAAATTTCTAACCTCTTCAAATCATATCCAATAGTGAAAGAACCAGTCAGGTGTTAAGGAGTTTGGAGTAAAAGCTCAGTACAGATTTACTTTTAGACATGGAAGGTTAAAAAATTGAGTTCAGATTTAGAGAGTGAGGAACAACAGAATAACAGAGTAGTTGTAATTGAAAGGTGCCTCTGTAGATCTATTAGTTTGATCCTCTGCCCAAAGCAGCGTTAACTGCTTAGCACTGAGCCTGACACTCAAAGAGTGGGTTGCTCAGAGCCATGTCCAGCTGGGTTTTGAATATCATAAGGATGAAGACTCCTTAACCTCTCTAAGCAATTGGTACCTGTGCACTCCTGCAGGGAAAAAGGTTTTTCTTAATTTTAAATGAAATTTCCCATATTTCCGTTGGTTTTGTCATTTTATTACAAAGCTCTCATACCTTCTTGGTGATTTCTCATGGGCTTCTCCTCATAGCACTAACACCTTCTTCACAGAGCAACCAACAAACTCCAACTCTCTCCCCAACCACCTAACCCACTCTTTTGTAGCACTTGTCTTCTTATTGGACACAGCTGTGGCCTTTTAAGGGCAGGCCTGTTCCTAATCTTTGGTGATTAGTACAGTTGCAACTCCTCAGGTGTGAGACTGCCTTCTGCGCTATTCTCTTACATTCTGTCCCTCCACAAGCTGGTGCCTGCTGACTCTTCTCCTTTCTCTGTATGCAGCTGAAGATGCAGTCTGGTGTGATTCTGTACTTGTTCTCATAAAGTGTTTGTACACATTGATAAAATCCCTGTTGAAACACCTTTTCTGGAGGCTGGGCAGTTTCAGCTCTCTCAGCCTTCCTTTAATGGCAGGTGCTCCAATCCTTTACCATGCTTGTAGCCTGTTGCTGCTCTCCTGTATGTCTGTGTTTCTTCTGAGCTGGGGAACGCAGGACTGGGCCCAGGGCTCCAGATGTTCTGTCAGTGTTGAGTAGAAGCATTTTCCTCTACCTTCTGGCAGTGTTTTTCCTGATGCAGTTGAGAAAGCTGCAGAACTTCATTGGTGCCTTGGGTGCATTACTGACTTAGCTTGAACTTGATGTTTGCCAGGACTCCCAAGTCCTTTTCTGAAGGAAAAGGGATAACATTGTGGCTTCCTCAGTGTTAATGCTAGTTTCTTTTTTACTTCCTGCTTGAGTCAGAACCCTTGCTCTGGGCATTGAGCTATTTCTTGATAATTTCAGATGATCTTGAAATAAGATTTATAGTTACTGTTA